TTAGTTATACTAAAAGGTATTGACTTGCAGCTTGAATAGTGAATTGTGTGATGTGAATTATATTTCAGTGATGCTGTTATACGTAAACACACAAAATGAATGTTCATTTACTAATAATACCCTCCTATTCATCAATGGAAGAACATAACCAAATCATGACATATTCCTGCCTTGTGATGTTATTGGGCAATAGGAAAGAATAAACTGGTGATTATCATAGTTGATAAGTTACAAAAATGACTGAGCAAAAAGTTAGGTAGCAATATTATTTCATTTGGTTTCAGAACGGGCAAAGTAGTACATAGGGAAAGATTCCAATGTCATTGCCTCTGGTAGTGTTGAGGCAAGGGTAGTATTGATAGAAAAGGTGTTAAATAACTTTGGGAGGGATAAAATGTCTATATCCTGGTTCAGGCTTACATAAATGTAGACATTTGCTTAGACACATCAAGCTGAATACTTAATAAACCTGGACCTAACAGGCAGATGCAGTAGAACATGTCTATATCCTCACTATTTAAGAAGGTGAGGTAGGATGATCATTTGAGCTCCATGAGTTTGGAAATCTGCCAGGCAACATGAGATAAGAGGAGTCCTAAGGCTTGGGACCTTCCAGAATAAAAACTTATGCTCCAAGATCTGGCCTCATGTGTGAATGATACAGTTGGAGCTAGGATTGTGAGCTTAATTTTTCTGTCATTAAAAAGGCTTTTTTTTTTTTTAAAAAGATTTATTTATTATAGTCTGGAAAACAGTGTTTAAAGCCATTAAAATGCTTGTCAAAGGTATAAAAAGTAGAATGAAAGGATTAGGACCCAGGGTATTTAAAACATAAGATATGGCATTGAATCACAAAACTACAAAGATACAGAAATACCCCAGTGGCACTAGTATACCAAGTGGAAAATAGAGAACAATAGATAAATATTGAACAATTTCTTAAAAATTGACACAGTAATTGAATGCATTTTAATAACTATTCTCACACAGAAAGTAATTTTTACATCTTGAATTATTGCTAATAGATTATCAAATTATGTATTGGTTGAGTGGATTATGAGTATAATTCACAGTGTCCTCTTTCTCTTCTCCCCTAACTTGTCCATTTTACTTGACTGTCATTCCACATACAGACTAGTCTGATACCTGGCCATCAAGGGTAATTACTGGTAATAATTAAAACTGAGTATTTTTTTTAAAGTATCTTGTGACAGTGAAATGATGGTAAGTTCTTTTTTATAAAAGATTAAATATTACAATTATCTTGGTAAATGATCCATTTTAAAAACAGTTATTTTTTATTATCAGCTTGTTAGAATGCTTAAAAGATTACATTTTCTCTGCTAAATGATATTTTTAACACAACATTTTATTTTTATTATCAGTTTGATAAAATTCTTTTTTATTTAGTTATTTATTCTATGTGGTTTTCACATTATATATCTTAATCCCATTCATTCACCATCCTATTGTGGAATATTAATTAAAGATGTGTTACATTCGTTTATGCTGTGGAGTATTTGTTTAATGATGCAAAGATGTGTTACATTTGTTTGATTATATAAAATTAACCTGGGATGAGGAGACTGAGTCAGCAACTAGCTGACAGGAAGTGGTAGGGAGGAACCATGTGTAGCTAGGGTTCTTAAGTGGGGGCTGAGCAGAAGAATTCCCTGGTTTGGGGGAGACACGAGCTAGGAGAGAAGGTTAGCTACTTGCTATTCAGCTTCTTTGAACGAGCAGAATTTCACCTGACCCTTGGACTCCTGAGTTCTATAGAGGGATAGAGATCTAGGTCAAGTTCCCTTTAGTGGTGTGATGGAGCCAGTGCTGAGGGGACAGAACCCCACCTGGTTAAGGCCAGCATGGCTGAACTGCTGCTTGTAAATGTGGAGTTACAGTTGCCGATTAGGACAGCAGTTGCTTAAGGGGCAGCTACTGAACTTAATAAAAAAACAACACAATGCCTTCCCATCTGCCCTCTGCCCCCGTACACCCTCCCCCATCCAATAAAACAAAATTCAAGAGAAAAAAGGAAGAAAATAAAATGAAAAAATTTTAAAAAGGGAAGGAATTAAATCATGGAAGTTGCAGTGTGACCCAACAAATCATGCTGTATACACCTTTGTCCATACATCTCTATACTTGCAAGTGTTCATTGCTAAGAGTCGTTGGTCTGGTTTCAGGCCCCTGGTTTCTGGTTGTGAGCCTGCCCTTTAATGACTGAACCATCTCTCCAGCTCCATTTGATAAAATTCTTGAAGTAGATTTCATCCTTTAAAAAGCCTATTTTTATGTCTATCTGATGATTAATAAGATTGTGTTTTCTCTGCTAAGTATAGATAATATTCTCTGAATTTAGAAATCTAGCTTAGGGAATTTCATTGAAATGAAAAAACTACTCTGCAACAGTTTTTGAATTAGTCTTTCTTTGAGCTTTAAAATGACTTATATTGAGAAGTAGTTGTAATTTATAATATTGAGTTCCATTCCTAGCTGTATAATGCATACTAATGGACCTTCAGTTCATTATGTGTCACTTAATTTGTTCCTAAATTATACAGTTTTCATGTACAGAGGCAGAATTGTTAAATGTAATCATTATTCCCTAACTCTTAAGGTAATCTGAGTGAATCTGAATTCTACCTTAAATCGATTTCTTGCTAATATTTATGGTATTGAAGCTGCCCGCCTCCCCCCATCCCTCATGCCTTATTGCTAGAATGAGTCAATGGTTAGCACTCATCTGGGGCTTTGGTCATTACTTAAATCCTATCTCTTCTCTTTCCTGCTAGTAATTCACTTTTTATCTCCTTTTCCAGTGATGAGGTATAGATTCTCCAGCTATTTCTTCAGATTTATAAATACAAAAGTGCTACTTGGGTTCCTGCTCTTTGGTGCTTTACTACCTACACTTATCACGCACTTGACAGAATATTTACAAGTGTGGTTGATTGCCAGATTTGTAAAAGAAATGTTCAAATTTTTTTGGTAAATTGTTTGGGTATAATTTCTCTCAGATTCTATCAATGTTGCCAGCTATATACTAAAGATATTTCAGAAGGGAATAGTTTTTGAAGAACAACCAATAATACAAATTGTTTGAAGTGTTCCTAATACTTTAATCTATAGTTTTAATATGACATTAGCTCAAAATACTTTGATTAATAAAATAGACATTTTGGATATTTGAAAAGAATACTTGTTTTCCCTATTATTTGTTAATTGGGGAAAATCATTCACATTATTTGATATTTTAAGATATATTAAGATAGTTGGCAGCATTGTCTTTGATTCTCTTATTGGTTTGGGCTTACATAATGTCTTTTCTCCATTTTTTTGTTTTGTTTTCTTTTGCTTCTTAAGGACATGATGATACAACGCCATGTGCAATTTTGAAAAGTATGGATAGTTTTAGCTTTCTCCAACACCCAGTCCACCAGAGGAGCTTAGAGATTCTGCAGAGGTGCAAGGAAGAGAAGTACAGTAAGGCTGCACATTCTCCTAAACCTTGTGTTGTCCCATCCACTTGGAAATGGAAATCAAGAGCATTCCTGAGGGTGGCATGCAAATTGCATGGGCAACATGACTTTCACAGTCCTTTCCTCAGACTCGAGTGCTTTCTCTTGAAATTGGTGATATACTTGTTTTTTAATGTGGGTGACTGTCCTGTTGGCTATGGTCACCACATTGTTAATTATCTAGATTGCTATCACTGAATTGGCTTCTATTTTTGTCTTTGAAGTATCAGATTCATATCACAAAAATGAACAGTACTTTTTTTCTATTTGCTCTTTGAAAGTTTTACTGAAATGTAATTAAAGTTAAATTGAAGAGAACAATTTGGTAAATCTTACATATATAGAAACTCATGAAATTATCACAGTAATCATGATATTCAACATGCCCCAAAGTTTTCTCATGTCTGGCTAAATTTTGTACTTGCTTACACTTGAGTCCTACATCAGCAGTGTTATAATTGGGAATCTCTGGAGGATCCATTTAAGTTGGTTACAACCCTTAATTGAGACTTTCTATGTCTAATATAAGTCACCACATCAGTGTTTAGCATCAAGAATAACAGAATCACAATACATTTCTGTTTATTGTTTAAAATTGCTATAAAAGATGCACTTGGTCTCCATTTCTTCCTTTACTCTTTGTTAGTCTGCATGAAAATAGGTTCTTTTGTCTACTGTGTGATTACAATAATTGGGCTTACTCCTATTGTGATAATAAATGAGTTCTTCAGAAAGCTAAATTATTTGTGTATTGTGGACCAAATTTACTCAAGATCTGCTTTGTTTATTTAATAAATTGTCACAGGTTTAGATTACTACTTTTACTAGTTTTTTAGTTGAAATTCCATAACAATTTTACTTAGTAAAATAATAAGTAGAAGTGCTAAAAATAAATATGGTGAGTTCTTTTTTCCACTGTATTGGTATAAGAAAATGCATAGTATATTTTGAAAAAATTTGTAATTTTTTTCTTGTAGGAAGAATAAAGGTAAGTCATTTAAAAAAGATGCCCTTGGAATTTATTCTTAATTATTGCTATTATTTCTTTTTTTAATTTATTTTATTTAATAGTTTTTTCATTTATTTTATATATCACCACAGTTTCCCCTTCCTCCTCTCCTCCCATCTACCCCCTCCCAATCCACTCCTCCTCTCCCTCCATTCAGAAAGGGGCAGGCCTCCCATGAGCTTGAACATAGCATGGCACATCAAGTTGTGGTAGGACCGTGCTCCTTCCCCTGCATCAATGCTGGGCAAGGTAATCCAGCATGGGGAACAGATTCCCAAAAGCCAACTAAGCGCCAGGGAAAGGTCCTGATCTCACTGCAAGGAGCCTTACAAACAGACCAAGCTACACATTTGTCACACACATGTAAAGGGCCTAGGTTGGTTCCATGCTCCATGAGCTCCCAGGTGCTCAAGTCATCTGTCTTTGTGGGTTCCCATGTCATGATGTTGATCCCTCTTATTCCCTCCTACCTTTCTTCAGGAGGACTCCCGGAGCTCCTCCCAGTGCTTGGCTGTGGATCTCTGCATCTGCTTCCATCAGTAACTGGATAAAGGCTCTCTGTTGACAACTAGGGTAGTCAGCAATCTTATTTTTTTTATTTTATTTTACACTACCATTCAGTTCTACATATCAGCCACGGGTTCCCTTATTCTCCTCCCTCCCCCCTCCCCTTACCCCCAGCACACCCCCATTCCCACCTCCTCCAGGGCAAATACTCCCCCGAGGACTGCCACCAATCTTATAGTAGATTATATTATAGTAGCACCCTCTCCTCTATTGTTAGGAGCCTAGCTGGGGTCATCCTTGTGGATTCCTGGGAGTTTCCTTGGCACCAGATTTCTCTCTAACCCCGAAGTGGTCCCCACTATCAAAACATCTTTTTCTTTACTCTCCCCCTCAGTCCCAGCCCCCAACCTGCCTGCCATACCAAGCCCTCCCAGCCTGCTCCCTCAAGTTCCCATCCTCCTTCCCCCAAGTTTACCCAGAAGATCTCATCTGTTTCTCCTTCCCAGGGAAATCCATGTATCCCTCTTGGGCCCTCTTTGTTATCTAGACTTTCTGGGGCTGTGGATTGTAGGTTGCTTATTTATCCTGTACTTCACTCCTAATATCCACTTATGAGTGAGTACATACCATGTTTGTCTTTCTGATTCTGGGTTACCTCACTCAGAATGATTTTTTTCTAGTTCCATCCATTTGCCTGCAAATTTCATGAGATCATTTTTTTTTTTTTTTACAGCTGAGTAATATTCAATTGTGTTAATGTACCACATTTTCCTTATCCATTCATTGGTTGCAGTCCAGTTTATTTGGTGTTCTAAAAGCTCCTTGTATCTTCATAGGCATTTCCTTCTTTAGGTTGATAAAGTTTTCTTCTATGATTTGTTGAATGCATTTTCTGTGCCTTTGAGCTGGTAGTCTTCTCTTCTATCCCTGTTATTCTTAGGTTTGGTCTTTTAATGGTGTCCCAGATTTCCTGGACATTTTGTGTTAGGAATTTTTTGGATTCAACATTTTCTTTGATGGATGAATCTGTTTCCTCTATCATATCTTCAACGCCTGAAATTCTCTCTTCCATCTCTTGCATTCTGCTGGAGATGCTTGCATCTGTAGTTCCTATTTGCTTACCCAGATTTTCCATTTCCAGAATTTCAGAATTCCCTCCATTTGTGTTTTCCTTATTACCTCTATTTCAGTTTTCAAGTCTTGAATTGTTTCCTTCACCTCTTTGATTGCTTTTCTTTCTTTCTTTCTTTCTTTCTTTCTTTCTTTCTTTCTTTCTTTCTTTCTTTCTTTCTTTCTTTCTTTCTTTCTCTCTCTCTCTCTCTCTCTCTCTCTCTCTCTCTCTCTCTCTCTCTCTCTCTTTCTTTCTTTCTTTCTTTCTTTCTGCCAGTCCACTCCCACATTTTATAAGAATGGGTTTGTATGACAAAAGTATATGGCAGGTATGTCACTTCTGATACTTGAATAGATTACTATTCCCATCTCTGGTATGCCTTTGTTAGCTTTCAGATCCCTATCAGAGAAGCCACTGTTTGTGAGCATCCCCATTCAGAGTCCCAACAGAGCCTTCAGCCAACACTTAATAAGGAACTGGACTTCCTCAGCAGCTTGTCTGGATGACCTGAGAGTGGATTTTGCTTCTTTCTAGTTCCAAGATGACTGACTGCAGTCTTGCTTGGCAGCTTGAGTGAAACCTCATTAGAGACTCTTAGAACTACCTAGATAAGCAAGTCCTAATTCTCTGTATTTTCAAAATTGAGATAGATGGGCTTTGTAGCAGACTTACAAGCTCATCTTCCTATGGAGACTGGCACAGGAGGATTGTAAAAAGCCATCCTGAGTAGTTTAGTGAAAACTTTTCTCGGGGTGGGGAAGGGGGGAGGAAACACGTGTGTGTTGAGGAGGACTGGGAATTGGGGCAGTGGCTCTGTGGCAGGGCACTTGTGTAGCATACTCAAAGCCCTTGGTTCAATACATGGTATTGCAGAAAAGGAGGGAAATGAAAGGAAGACAGTGGAGAAGGAAGAATGGAAATCTGTGAACCAGATAAGTAGTACAGAAATGGATCTTTTTGTGTGTGTATGTGGGGGTGTTGATTTTCTATCAAGGTGCTGAGATAGTTTAATGGAGTATTCTCAATGAACCAATGGCATTGAACAACTTGGTATCCATTTAACTTGAAATAAATCATACTGATTTAAGGATCAAAGTCATTAAATTTGTAAGAAAGCTTGAGGAAAATGAAAACAGGCAAAGATTTCTTAGGATGCATAAATATTAGCTAAAGGTAGAGGAAAGTGGTAAGTTAGAGTTCCCTAAATTGAAAACTTAATGCTTTTCAAATAATATTAAAAGAACAAAAACCATACCACAGCCTGGGAAACAGCATTTTTAATAAGTTCATAATTCTGATACCCTATAATGTATTTACAAGCAAAATCTAGTACAAAGATGTATCCCTATAGATTAATTTGACAATCATTACTATCTTGAACGTACATTTTCTAATCATGAGCATGGATATTATTCTCTTGATTTGGCTCTTGATTTCTTTTAGTGTTGTTTTATAACTTTCAAGGTAGACATCTTGACTCTTCTGTTAAGTTTATGTTATTTTGATTTTATGAATGGAATTACTTATTTTTGATCATTTATTATGTTTGCACAAAAAATAGAGTTAATCTCTACATATCAATTAATTTCCTGTATTTTTGCTGAATGTATTTAACATTTTAGTAGTTTCTTTAGAATTTTCTCTTTATGATTGTCATTTTTCATAAAGGTCTTCTGTAAAGATGCATGTTTCTTCCTTTCCAGTGTATCTTAAATGTTTATGTGTATATGTATTATAAAATTGACCTTGTATCTACAGAACCTATAAGAAAATTTTGTTTTTAAATATTTATATCCAAAAGTAAACATTCTTTGATCTTCAGTGTCTTTATTTATAAGATCAATAAATCCCTGAAGTATATGTTACATATCAGCAGTATATTTGTTGCCAAAAAGTGGTAAAGGGATCATGTTAGAAGTGTTTTGAGTCTGAGTTTTGTATCTGTTTAGTCTTCAGCCTGTTTACTTTTATATTTCCTAATTTTAATGCTTAAGTGTAATAAATAAGAATTTCCTATTGAATTTCCTATTTATGTTCATTTAATCAAGTTGTGGTTGTGATAGTTGCAAAACTTTTCTTAATTCCTAACATTTATCAAATGTTTAAAAACTAAGTTTATTAATTCTTACTTGTCTTTAGAAATTTTTTTCCTTTAGTATTTTGAAGGTGCACTCATTTCAGATTTTCTACTTTTTTTTTTTTCTTATGTTAGGTATAACCCGCAAAAACCCAAGAACACCTCTTTCTGATCTTCAGGGCATGAACACTCTAAATGAAAAAAATCAACAGTAAGTTTGGTATATGTTTACAAGGAAATATGAGATGAATATCAGTCTTACTGGTAATTTTGGATATTGCTGTGCAGCCTAGCAGCCCTTCATCTTGTGGTTTTCCTGCCTCAGATTGAATGTTGGGATTATAGGTGTGTGTGCCACACTTACTCAGATTTATATTTTTGTATATTTGTGACAAATGTGTTAGGGCATGCTTGTGTGTGTAAGGGTGAATGAACCTGTATTATGGCACATGTGTGGCATCAGTTCTTGCATTTTTCCTTGTTTGATGTGGCTGGGTCTCTTTGTTGTTCACTACTGTATGCATCAAACTAGCTGGCTCACAAGCTTCTGGAGACTTTCCTGTCTCTGCCTTGTGTCTTAGCATAGGAGTACTGGGATTATAGACCTGTGTTATGACATCCAGTTTTTACATTAGTTGTGGGCTTTGTGCTCAGGTTCTTAGGCTTGTGCAAGTGCTTTACCCACTAATCTGTCTCCCCTGTTCTCAGACCGTTTTGTTTTTAAATTTATTTATTTATTTATTTATTTATTTATTTATTTATTTATTTATTTATTTATTTATTTATTTATTTATTTATTTGTGTTTGCTGGGGTGTGGGAATATGCATAGTATGTGTCTGACAGTCAGAGAACAGCTTAAGGGACCAGATTCTCTCCTTCACCCATGTGGTACACAGATATCAAATGATATAGTCAGGCCTGACAGAAAGTGCCTTAGGATTTCTAGTCTGTTTTCTTGTTGGTTTGTTTGAGATGTGTCTCATATAGCATAGGTTGGCCTAGAGCTTGCTATATAGCCAGGGATGATCTTGAATTTCTGATCTTTTAACTCTGAAGTGTTGGGAATACAGACCTGAATCACCCCACACTAGTTTCTGATGGTTTTTACTAGTTTATCTGCCAAGATACCTTTTTCAGATAGTTTCTTTTGACTTGTTTTTTCCTCTGAGTAGATCATGCATTCTGAGTATGTGCTCTTTGTGTGAGTGTGATTTCTCTCTCTATTTTTTATTGGTAGGTAGTGGGCATTTGAATATAATAATGTGGTAAATAGAAATCTGATCATTCTTACTTTGCACATGTCATCTGTTCTTTGTTTGACTTGGTTTGTTTTCCTTTTGCTTTTTCTGTTTGCTTGTTTTTTCAGCTATAGACTTTTTCAGTTTAAGGTATGTTAAGAACTTCTCAGCTATTTTATGATTTTAGTCTGTGGACACATACAGTTATTTTCCAATTTTGTGCACATTTGTAAGTTGTCGTTATTATCTAGTTCTCCAAATCAGAAAAGGAGAAAGCTGAAGGCTGGGGTAGAAAATGGTGATTACCTTTTAAGTCCACTGAACTTACTCAAGTGGAGGGGAAGTGGATTTGCAACAATGTAGAAAATACAACAGTGATTACCATGTATTTGTTTTCTTGCCTGAATGATTAAAGCATTTATCAGCATATAAATCTCTAACATATGGAGGAGAAAGTTATCTAGGCCCATGTTGGCTGTGAGCTGTGTGGAAGCTATTCCAAGAAGATGCACATGACTCTCTCCTGCCACCTTTGGTATAAAGGCTACATAGCTGCTGCTGTTCTAAGAGATGAAATGACCAGACTTAGTTGAGATTTAGCAGAGGAACCTTTTCCTGGAAGTT